AACTCGACCCTTGACAGAGAAGCTGATGTCACGCCTACCCCACAGATGACGTAGGTTCGCAAAAGCTACTCTGGTCTTCCCAATCCGGATAGAAATATCATCTTTCGTGAGACCACCGGGACTGATACAGCTGCCCAGGTAAACAAATTTGTCTACTACCTCAATCGGTTCATCCGCAAGCATGAGGCTAGGGTTCGAGCCCACACAGTATTGCAGTAGCACTTTACACTTTCCCGATGTAAAGCCTACGCCGAACCATGAGACGTAATTATTTAGATCGAACAGAAAGATAGCACTTCTAGGTTTTCTAATTGGCGATCCTACGAGCACGTTCGAACTGAACGAACCAACCGCTAGCCGAGATCTGAAATAACGGCGAGCAGATGGAGAGCTGACCCAGCATCAATCTGTACAATCTGTTAGTCACGACCCGAGGAGATCACACACGTTCAAGTTTACGCCCAAATATGAGATGAGATTGATGGAAATTCGGAGACCGGGCCTATCTGAAGGGACTATTATCTGAGCAGAGAATGTTCTTGTAGAGAGACAAAAGCTCGCCAGATTGATTGTTCCCTTAACCGTCTAGTCTCCACAGCAAAACCTGAAGTGGAGTTTTGAGAAATTAGGTCGGGTTGATTTTAAGTGACAGCCCACAAAATTTTCAATGAGTAAGGTGAGTAGGGTGGAATTTAACGACTAAATTCAATGACGTTCTTGCTAACAGTCCCTACTCTGATTAGCTGGATGATGATTTGTGGGTGTGGAGACCCGGGATATTTGTGACAGACTAACACTGGTCTACTTTTGATCGCGCGTTTCGTTCTTCTAGTGATAACAAGGCAATGGAGCAGAGGGCTTGCCGTCCTTGGTGATGATATTTAGATACGGTACTGCAGGTAAACTTTGGAGGCCTATATAATTCAGAACCATGGATATATTTGAAGTTGTTGCGGCGCAGATCGAAAGGTATTCAAATGAACGAGAACTGGAGACGTGCACCAACCAGTTTAGTTTCAGAAAGGTTTCGTAAAAGATCGGTGGATTTATTGCCGAACCTCTCTGAAACGATAATTACCCAATCGGTCCCAAACATTTTCCAGTTTAGTTAACGTTGAAAGTGAAATATCTTTCAAAGGAGAAACACACACACGTAAAATCTATAAAGACTAACAGTGAATTCATCAGATGCACATTGAATTACGTCTACTGAAATAGCATTGGATGGGAATTTCATACAATTATGAGCTGGAAGCCTAAATTAACAAGCTTCGGGAGATTCGTAAAGTTCACCGGTTTGGAATTTTCAGCTGTGACGTTTACCGAACACTTACACAATGAGGTGTGAACAGCGTTTTGAGTGGGTATTAGTGTATTGATCATTTTCGTGCACAACAAACAAAACCTGTTGGTAGCACCCATGACGTACCACACATACAGAATAACTCCAAGAGACCATACATCAATGGCTGATGTATAGGTACCAGAACCGGCAGTACGGAGAACTTCCGGAGCAAGGTAGGTCGGAGTTCCGCAAAATGTGCGCAACATGGTGTTTCCATCCACCAATTTGGACAAACCAAAATCCGTCACTTTGATTAAGCACCTATTTTGGTTGTTTGTCAAAAGGATGTTCTCTGGCTAGATAAGTGAGGGAAGGAAGGAACAAAAGATAGAAGCAGGTCATCATAAATTGAGGGCAGCCACGAATAGCTTTGTGCACCCGGTGTGAATCCTCAGCAAGAAACACGTAGCGAATACAAAATTGAATATATAATCCGTAAATGGTAAGAATACAGCCCAAGAGAAGTAAATTAGACGAGGAGGGACGATAGCAGTGCATCACACAATGAGTCAGAGTAAACAATATATAGGGCCATGGATGAAATCGAAAGAATTCCGGTATGACCTATATCAAATTAGTGAAAGCTAGAAGTTGGAACGCCAGCAGGAAATAAACATAACGTGAGATGAAACAGAGTGAGGAGGGTGTTGAAAGCTGGACAATATTTGCTGGGCAAAGCTAGTACAATCGTACTGGTGCTTGCTGATGCGGCTGTGGAGACCCGATTTCACTTCGAGAAGCTGAAACAACAATCCTCAACAAAAAGGCCACGAGAAAAATGGATCCAACGGGGATGGGGGGGGGGTCCAAAAGCCGGAACGAATTTTCGAAGAGCATTTACAAAAAGATGGCGCTCAATCACCGGTCATTAGGAAAATATCGATGGAAACAGTAGGGAAACAATGTGAATGTGAGGCATCCAACTAAGATTATTGGCAAGAGTGATCTTGAGGTATTTCATATCTATCGATATGGGCCACCAACGAGTGCAAGCAAATTAATTAATTAATTACTTTTACCTTGTGTGGGGGGAGAAAGTAACACCTTAGAATTTTGGAACAATAGGGAAAAAGGGACATTCTCAGGACAACCCAACAAGTTGCTCAATCATGTCCGTAGTCTCATGTGAATTTTCGAACCGCGACAGTCACAATTAACCACGATATCACCAGCAAACCTGCATCAATGGAAAGAACCAGATAAAAAGAATGACATGTGAACCGCTCGTTTGAGTTGGCAGTGAGGAGCACTTCCGGCTGCTTAGATACATGGAGTGGGCACAGTCGGCAAAACAGTCATGTTGTAGTTTTATCAAAAATCGCTCGTCTCGTTCATCGGCGATAAGCCACAGCAACAAACTTTCGCGTAATCTTGGACCGTACGGCTCTGATCTTTATCAGGTGTCGAGTAAACCGAAAACTAAAAATCTAAAACTGCGATGCACGAACGGTTTTGTAAATTCAACAATCTGACTGGAGCTTAGTATCGAAAAAATTATGCTTCCGACAACTTTGATGGTACGGAAGTGCACGTAAACGGTTGACATTTCAAAGTCATTTCCTCACGCGGTGGATTTATTTGATATATCACCAAGTGCTTTTCTGATGGTGCAGTGGGCTCTCTGAGAATGCCCATACACAAATTCAGCAATGGATGGGAATAAGAAGCTTTGCTTGCTCCCGTTTGGACATTATTACCTGCGAGTTATTTGTAGTTAAATTCTCAATGGGATCACTCTCGTGTGAGTATGTTACGGGGACATCAACAAGTGTTGACGGATTTGCGAGTTCTCAAGTTAGCTTCCCTAGACCAATCCGATTTGAACAATATTTGAGCCAAGCAAGATGTCGATATAAATTCTGTTCAGTCATCGATTGACTTGTTCTTATCTGGCTAATTAGCTGAGGAACTTCCGGGCACTACTCAATTTTGAATGTCCTCTGCTCACGCCACTACTATTTCAAAGATGAAATAAGTCAGGACTATTACAGATAGTTCCAACAGAGCAATCAAAACTCGAAACGGAAGCTGAAATAGCCAGTCAAATGCCCACAACATACCGGAGAACAGGGGTTACAGAATTGCAGCACGACGACTCAATTTCAAGTAAACCTTTCGGGTCAGAATACAATTTTGGAAAAATCAGGTGTGATGCAACTGAATCTACGAAAAGTATCCGTATTATTCACAAACATGTGGTCAAGTTGCGCGTTCAGTATTGTGGAGAAGCACACAATAATCTTCAATTTAGGGAAGGGTAGAAGAGAACAATCCCATCTTCTCAGATAATTTTCTACTACAAAGGTAATCGCCTCTGCGAAGGAGAAACAACAAATTCGAGAAATACACTCATTTGCAAATCAATTTGGTCTTCAAGAGGAACTCAAGTGAATTTATCGTTTGTGATGTTCTTCAACTGAATGTGCTGCACACAGGCCACTTAATGTTTCAGTTGGCACGATATTCGAGATATCGCAGTATATTTTCATAAAGGAAACTACTCACAAGGTTGCTGTAAAGTATCATAAACGAGAGATTCAGTTGAGTCTCGTGAAAACCAAATTGATCTGCAACTGATTGTATTTCCCGAAAACAATCCAATTTGGGATCATGTAGAACACAAGATTGACGGAAACTCGGGGACTGCGCCCACCTGATGAGCCCCAAGAAGGGCGAAACCGGTCGTGAGCTGCCGAGTAGTTTTCAGCAACGTTTCCTTTATGAGAAACAGCAAATTTGGTGGGCTCAAAATGACGGGGATAATGTATAGACTTCCAATTAGGATTGAGTGGCGACGTCAACCTACAATTAGACAGCTGAACTATGCTGGGGAATGGACACATGAGCACAAGTACCATTTCCTGTTGACGTGCGCGACACTACCACATTCACTGCGGAATTTACGGGAAACGGTTAAAAAAAGAAGCAAGCCGAAATTATCCAGAAAAATGCCACAAATATCACGACTATCATAGGTAGATTTATTGAAACATTGTTCAACAACTGTCTGAGGCCCAACAGTTTTCATCAACGTAAGCTTCCTTAACGTCCAGTGAACGTTATTAGGTATAATAAGTAGAATCTGCATTTCAGTATCGTTAGCAAAGGTGAGAACATCTAGCTTCTTCGTAAAGGAAATCGTTGTGGGAAATAATACACGCTGACAGTATGTTTTCGAAATCGACCCCCCTTATACGGCCATCTTGTTCCTTGTCTCAAAGAGACGTCCATATGCAAGATAAAAAAAAACATCCGTCATAACAATCGGAGTGAGGCGAGGCTGTTCATTTATGCCCCCAACTCAAAGCGGGTATATTGACGGCATCGGCACCATAAGGAACATCCCATTAGCCCCCAACTAACGTTTGACCGCACCCGTTTTTATCTAAGCCACAAATGAAAGCTAACGGAACTCAGTACTTTACGACATGTAAGCCCCTGGAAACCCAACTTTGAGCGGTAAACACAGGGTTAACTAAGGGATGCGAAACTTTGCAAAGTTGGAATGTACGAAAACCCGGAGTGTCCTACTTTAGAGATACTCTTAAAATGAGACCACGCGAAAAAACAGTAAACAAACAAAACAAACTCGCCCACAACACCTCAGCTTTTGAAAGATGTTAAATGTCACTCAGCAGTGTTGGATACAGCGGTTTGAGAAAACCAAGAAAACGCTCAGCTGGACAACCGGAATCTTGGGACACGGCGGATGTGCAACGATCGGACGTATGATCAGTTTAAGATATTCACCGCCGGCAGCGGGATGGATCTTCGCATGTCCGGACAGCTGGTACAGGCCTGCTGCAATGCATCCGTGAGACAGTTGGAATATATCAATCGACCACTTCCAGATGACCTGGCACTACACAAATTTCGGATGATTCGTACTTTTCGCACACCCAGTATTGGGTGAGAAACGCATAGACACACATCACACTTTTAAAGACGGTAACAGCAGTCGTTGACAGTAAACGACAATTACATTGGCCAGACACATTATACGCAAAGAAAACCTGATGAACACTCACACAGTAGGAACCAAAAACATCAATCTGGTAGATCAGCGAATCAATGATAAAAATACCCACCTTAAGGTCGCGATGGGTGATGCCGTGTTCATGAAGATACTGCATAAGTAGAGGGGTAACAAAAACACGGAAAAAGTCCACGGATCAATAAATCATTCGACTGCTTAATCACAACGATGTATGTATAATAACGTGTCAGCATGATAGACAGAAAACGATGGTTTAGGGGACAAAAGGCACAAGCTATGGTGCTTCCAGATAATGAATGCACCAATTGCACTGAAATGATTAGGCTGAGGACACTCAGTCAATTTGGGGCAAAACCTCACTAGAACCAAAAGTTGTGGTAAAACTCGGTTACTGGGGGATCCAATCATGAATCATCATTGGAATGCTTGTGATGGCTTGGCACTGAACTAAACTCTTTTCAGTCTTCTTTCGAAAAAAGGATTTCAAGTAGATCGTGTCTGCGCGGCAGTGAAGCACTCAATAACACTCAATAAATAAATCGTTCGGCCTTAACACCCTTCCGGTGCCTAGCTACCACCCCACCCGCGGGAAGCTGAAATGCGTTCGAGGTTTTCACGAAGACGAGTTACCCTAAAACAGGGGTTAGTCATCATGAATTGAAAAAATCAAAAGCAGGTTGTGGTTTATGACGTACATGACCACACCATACAACCGCGATGGAAAAAGGAATGCTACTGGGTCAAAACGACACTCACTCCAACAGCAATAGCCATCTGGAGGAACAAAAATTTGGCGTCTTGTTCGGACAGTTGGCCAAGTTGAACAATGCGATCAAATAATTCACCGCCTTCGACTCTAAAAAACTTTATAAGAACAAAAATTTCATAGCTTACAGTTCCAGGATCATATACAATGCTTCATCCGTGTCAATAACATCATAGATGTATATGATACAAGGCTGAAAGTGACAAACAGGACAAACGGTAAGGTTGGCAGGGAGATTCAGGAGTAACAAAGCACAGGAATACATCCAATCCATGAAATTAATTCAACGAGCTAACTGCAAGTTCTTCGAATCGATACAAACAGAACAATCCAGTATAGGTGGGTTTACGGCGTCTGCAATCCGGATCTGGCATACCTAGTCCAGAACTCAGGTAAATATAAACTTGACCTAGCTCGAGAGCAAAATGAGCGACTTCATTACCAACTTATTACCGGTCCTTTGGTGTATGCATTTCAGGGTTGTCTTCATGACAATTTAGATGGGCGCAGTTTTGGCGGACCTTAGTGGTTGTGAAAAAACCGCTGGATAGGTCACGCGGATCCTAATGCGACTAAAGATTGTAAGGTCGCGAGGTATATTGACAAAGTTCTGGATGCAGTTCTCTGTCCACACACACTTAAATGTGTTACTCCATCAGCAAAGTAAAACAACCTTTGAATTCAATGAAGAAATTGGTGGTTCGCAGTATACGTGGCACTGCCCAAGTACTTGGAGCAATGTAAAAACGTTATCAGCGTACTCCTTGACTAATCGGAATCCTAACTGATACTCAGGAATTTGCCCATCACAGTTCCCGTGCTATGATATGTGTGGGGCTTGCACTACTATGGTCGGGACGCTTGTTTCGGATACCTTTTTGAATAAGGGATGGTTCCTGACTGGTCAGTCCTTTGGAACACTTTTTCCTAAACTATTTGATCAATGCAGTTCAGCTGACCCAACAGTACGGTGGCGTTTCAAGAAAGTAAGCAGGTGACCCAGATGACAACAAACTGGTCGTCCGTCAAAACGGAATGGCTAAGCCCTGACTTCAAACCAACAGCAGGAACACACCAGTTCCGGTGGGTTGGGTAGACGAGAGTAAGTTTGCGACACAATGAACATGCCAACGGTTCAAATTAGCTATGCTGTCTAAATCATCTGCTGTACTGAAGGCTGCACTAGACTCACAAATTCAAGAGGTGCAACTTACATCAAAATACGGACGGCCCTTGGGACGAGATGCGTAACAACTCTTCATGAGACTTCAAAGGTAATGCTTCCTACGCGCGACCCGTTCAAGTAAGAGCGTCTCAGGAAGACGATATATCCGTTGTAGGCCCAGCGGCTGGGGTAATTAGAACGCAAGCCCGGCTTTCTACTATACTAGATTGTTCAACAGTTGCTGGAAATTTTGTGCCCTAATTGACGTCGCTAGTCAAAATAACATGTATAGTCGGCAAAACTATCGAATGGATATGAGTCGCCTTTCAGAGACCTCATTTCCCTAGCTATGCTGCATAGTGAACCTGGGTTCCTGGGTCAGATGCTTCCTATCAGGTACATTCTAGCGGACCTAAAAAATGATGCGGATGTCTTAATAGACCGAACTAATAATGCATGTTTTCTGAAAAATAAGCCCAAAGCTTGCTGTAACTCGTTTGGAAGGGAACCCCATATGTACCAAACCTAATCATAAAGAACGAATTTTATGGCCAAACACAAAAGGTGGTTAATCAGACCTCGAGAAACCTTGGTGGTATAGGATAACCACGACGCGCCAATNCCTCGAGAAACCTTGGTGGTATAGGATAGCCACGACGCTCAATTTGGTGGATAAGACGCTCGCACGCACCACAGACTTGGTTTGGACTCAGCTGCAGCTACAAAAATGATGACAGGCTCATAAACATAGTTCCCCCCTAGTCAACTCGTTGAAACTAATGCCTTCAAAGACATTTGCTGACATGTTAATCAAACAACGGCCAAATGGCCTTACGAATGGACTATACTCTGACTTATGCACAACAGCGCTTATGAACATAAGATTGTAGGTTTCATGCAGATGCGAATTTCAGAAGTTCGGGGAGCATGTGCGAGCTAAACTTGGAATCGTCCTGCTGCTGAACGAAGGTCACCTCCTCCGCCTAAGCGCATGAAAACTGCGCATCACCCGGAAAATGGAGGCACGTTCAGATAATATAACAGCCAGATTACACGCCAACCAACAGATAACTAGTGGGGTAGCGTTGCAACTCTCTATTCACTAAGCCACTATGAACCACCCAGGTTTTGTCATGATATCGTCTGGTGTAAGTAGTTCTGAAACGCCAACGATATGAAACGACGGGTGGCACACCTGACACAACTGCTAAACCACCTGTCACCACGGATTAAGAACTCCGAGAGTAATCCAGCGTCAGCAAATGACGTGAAATGTGAAGAGTTAAGTAAATCGGATAGCTACGGTCGCCAAACAACAAGAAGACAGAAAAGCTCCCAGGAAAGATATGATGCCGCCTGAGATAAATAAATGCTGCAGTTGAAAGCTGTCTGAATCATTCCACAGGCTAGTTTGCTTAATCTGGAAAACGGAATATGTTCTCCAGGTTTGCTGCACCTCAATATTACTTACAATCCGAAAATGTGGTGAAAATACCAAGTACAATTGTTACGGAATACATCTTATTGACATTGCGGCCAAAATATTTGTTCCTCCTGCGGTGACGTTCTTCTCAAGGACATCAGGCTAAAACAAAGAGGTTTGTAGTCAAGAAGAGCTCTGCTATCCAAATACTTTGGTACATCGATTTGGGTACATGCAACCCACAAAAGCACGCCCTGTCGAACTCCGACAAAGGTTGAGTTCCATTGATCCTGAATAATCGTGGAAAACCCTTCAAATTTACGATGTCGGTAGTCTTATTGGAGCCCATCCGTCAGCAAGGAGAATTTACCTTCTAGTATACGACAGTCATTAACAGTGTAACATCAGTGTTCAACACTGATGCATCGGTGCCGTTTAACCAACATTTATTTGACAGCTTTATTGTGCAGAAAAGAATAAAAATGGATGGGTTAAGGACTAAGTGCTAACCTACCCCAATCATTTTGAGGTACCCACACCTACAGAAACTCATTCAGCCAATCGCGAAAAAAGGTGACAACAAGAACGCACATCGATTATTTGACAGCTTTATTGTGCAGAAAAGAATAAAAATGGATGGGTTAAGGACTAAGTGCTAACCTACCCCAATCATTTTGAGGTACCCACACCTACAGAAACTCATTCAGCCAATCGCGAAAAAAGGTGACAACAAGAACGCCAATGACATCGATTAGCAGCCATATCTTGCAGCATCTCCAACCAGGCGCAGTGGAAACTACATGATCCCCATTCAAGAAGCCGAATCGCAGCTGAAATTGAAATACGTTGATGACATTGTTCCGTTGCGTGACGGCACTAACATGCGGACTAATCCAACTCACTTCCAAGCACAAGTAGAATTAGAATCCAACATTTCGAAGACCAGGTTTTTCCACATGAAGAGATGTGCCGACAAAGGGCCGTTTGTGGCGAGAACAGGAAAATACGACTCTCCAGCACGGCCATTTGCTCTGTCCTGATTTGGGCCTGCGAAAGATGTCTTCTGCGAAATGAAGACACTGGAAATAGGCAGTTTTCTGAAACTGGGTGCCTGCGACCGTAAGGCTTCGCTGTCTAGAGGCTTCCAATAAAGAAACATCATGAACTTAAGCACCATTTCCGCTACTATAACGTCTATGCCTACGGTGGTCTTGGCATTTGTAGTGAATGGTCAAACAAACCCGAACCACTAGAGCATGTTAAGGATGGCGATGTCTTGTCGGAAGGCAACGGGAAACTTGGCTAAGGACAGCCAATCTGAAACGGGACAACGTGGTCTATTTCTGGCCTGAGTCCGTCCCTTGAAAGAAAGCGTCCAGCTGTAGCACCCTTCCGGTGCCTAGCTGCCATGCCATCCGAAGGAAGCACGAGGGCTGGGATACTGCCAGGTTGCCCAAGACTAGACAGGGGAAGTCGAGTGGCGGAGGTCGGATTCGAACCACGAAACTTCCAGTCAGTAAATTCGCGCTCTAACCACTTGGGCCATCTCGCCCAAGTTAGAAAGTAACCCCGACCATACTGACGAAACGAATGACCCGCTGGAAACGCTCACCACCGAACACCCGGTCTAGACTAGGGAGACATAGGTGATGTCTCCTACGAGCAGGGCTGATGCAGGCGAAAAATGATTTTCACTCATACTAATGTATTCACACCGAAATGTCTGTTTTTCGCCAGACAACACACCACGAAATCAGTCAACTCTATAGCAGGCCATCACAGAGGGAAACTCACATGTGCAAGCTTCATTAGAATGTCCACCTCTGATTTAATCCGGCTAAGAACACCCTGTAAGGAGAATTACTTGCTCTAAAAAAACATACGTTTCCAAGTTTTGCTGTTATTGAAAACGTTTTCTTCTGAACAATTTTCATTGCACGCTTCTCACAGGATCCTCTTTCGAATACCAACCGCACCTCACCACATGCACCCCTGAGAACGATTACGACTAGAATTGTGAACATACCTGCCAAGTAGCTTCGAGATTGTGTACCGCGAAGTGACTTCAGGAGGAAACAAGTTCTCTTCGGAGTTCGAATCACAGAAAATAAAGCCTGAGAGTAAGTAAATGGACACACGTACATTTAAGGTGCTTCAAAGAGAGGGATATTTCATCATTGTTATTTAATGGTTGCTTTTTCCCACGACCTAGACAGGTTGCGAGGAATCGCTCAAAATTTACCAATCTTAGTTCCGTTCACAAAGGTACCGTTACTGCTTAAATCCTGTATGAACATGAGTTTTCCCTGATAGCTAGTCTCCTGCAGCGAAAATAAAGTGGGAGGAAATGGGCCAGACCAGGAACACCTTGAAGTGATGCTTGCTGAATGTAGCAAGCTGATTCGGGTCATCGAACATGGAGGAACAAAATGTAAAACTGCAGTCTTCTCCACGACCAAACGTATACGTCTCGTCCTTGAGCTCTAGATGGGGATAACAGTGAGTATACAGCAAAACCATACCTATGAAAGGGAGCTTTTTCTGGAGAGGAAAAAGTCGACCCCATACTGAAGAATCGTCAGTTACTTCAGCAGAAATATGATTGACTTCATCGACGTCCTGAGTTGGTAGCAGTTCTGTCATCGAGCACGCATGTGAACGCCTGCAAGCGGAGTCAGCAAGGAACTCGGTGAAGGTAACGAGTAATTGGAACGCGGTGATTGGTCGTTACTCTTTTTGGCGACCCAGAGAACGACCTAACAAAACTGGCGAAAATGTGCGCAGCACCTCGACATTTACCGGAAACTAAATCCTAAGCCCAGTTTCTATACTAAAATGTCTATTTTAATAATGATTTCTCCCATATCTCAAAAGTGAACTGTATAAGCTTGTTATGCTTAAGTGTAATGCTCAATACTGCCAGCTAAGGGGGCGGCTGTTTTCTCTAAAATGAGCTACTCACATTCGGACTGTGGGCAGTGTCGAAGGTACTCCTACCCTAATCCTTAAACCCCCGATTGCTACAAGCCTATTAGCCTAGCGTACCGTGCAAGGTGATGGAGCGCATTCCGAAGCGGGTCATCCTAGATCACCTTACTACCAGCAACATGATATCCCCAGTTGAACACGAATTCCTCCCAAACCGTTCCCGCATGTTGAAGATGCTCGTATTTATGCACATCTTAACCTAAACGGAGGACGAGTGGCTAATATCGGGTGCTTTATATTTCGACTTCTGAAATGCATTCGATCCAGTCCCACAAGATCCCCTGCCACACAAACTCGGGTCTTAAGGGGTTCAAGAGGAAATTCTACGCGTTCTTATCAGACGGAACATTCCGAGTGAAATTCGACTCGACCTAGGTTTTCCAGGTACGGTTCTTCATTGGATATTCTCATGGCTTCGTTTTGGGACCACTGCTGATTACGATATATGTCAACAAATTCGACGCATTCTTTCAAGTCCATGTCTACCTTTTTGCTGGTAGACTGAAATCTTGGGGTTCAAATGCCAGTTCCCTATAAAGTTTTGTAGATGTTGCAAAGAAGTGGTCGGTGGACTGAAATCTTTCTCAAGATGACGAAAACTGCGTCCATATATCACTCGGAGGGATGCAAGGAACACATTCCTCGTGCATGGTGATAGTGGACCAGATGGATGGATGCCAAAAGGGATTTGGGTATCTGGTTCTCCCCAGACATGTCCTTCTCACTGCCCCATGAGAAACTGTCAGTTCCCGTTTGGCACACCTTCTCCCGGATTACTCGCATGGACTTCCAAACAATCTATGGGGCCTATGACGGACCGCTTCTTGAATATGCCAAACGAGTAGTCCACTCTGGACGCAAAAAGGACGTAACTCTCAAAAAGCGTTTACAACGATCTGCTACGAAGATGGTTGCCGGCTCTCAATCCGTGAACTAAGAAAAGCGTCTTGCGTTGCTTGACATCTTCTCCCAAGAGTCCTGGTTACACACTGTGTTTGAACACTGTTTTTGGCCAACCGTTTTTCATGGTTGGGCGACTTTCAGGATCTCACTTAAGTCTGAGATATGGTTCTGTTTTGGCTTTAATTGGATGCTGAAGATCACAACGGAATCGGCTAGCACACAAACTCGGCGGAGTTAATAATTGGTGAAGAAGTACGGGGCCCTGGCTTCCTGACAGTGTTATTGAGGTTGCGTAGGGGGTAGTTGCAAGTCGTGTTCAGGACGATGGAGCCGTTGTTTCTGTTAAGCTCCATAACAATAATAATAATAATTTGTAGCCCTCGGACAGTATACGGTGAGTCATGATTGTAATGTTGCAACCAACATAAAGGTACGACTGATGGGATTGAGGGGTACTAAGGAATGCGCGGAAGCGAGGCAGTCATAGAGTTGTCGGGCTTATCCGCCGCTGATGAAGTCATGCCAAATTGTCGGTGTGATGGACACCGAGGAAAACGAACCACAGTTATCAGGGGTTTTCCCATCTTTGAGGAACATATCAAAAAGCGACGAGACAAAATCGCTACAATTTCGAGATGATAGGTACCAACACAATGGGGAAGATAAAAATAGGGGATCCTCCTTGGTACGTGATAAGAAAAGCGTAAAGTGTGGAAAATAAAAAATCAATACAAGAAATTTAGAGAAGCAGTATAAGTTTGGTAATCCGGCCGGTCAGTTCGAACTAATATTGGAACCAATTGCTGAGGTTTTGTGGCCCTGAACACCTGGGTTTATGGCCACGGTCAGGAGAGGCGTAACTGGAGTTGATGAAGTTGAAAAATTCGCTTTGAAGGTAATAATAGCTTGAATACTAGGATTGCAGTGCAAAGTATATCTGTACAGGGGCACGGACGTCTTTGTAGTTGAAGATTTACTGGTAAATTTGGTTAATTTAAAGATCCGCATGATACAGAGTGGGGAGGAGGTGGAGTTTATAGCGGACATACAGGGCGTTTGGTGCAGCTGCAGTTGTCCCCACTACGAATTTTCCCATCCTTTAATCCTTACTTCAGCTTTCCGTGACCACGGCCATTAACACAACCGTCCAAGGTTACTGGTGCTTTCAGTAAGAGTGACTGGAAGAAGCGGATATAACTTATGGTTTAGTGCTCTAAGGGAACATATTTGACACCAAGTAACTAATGGATCACAGGATAGTCTCTATGGCTGTATCTGTTGGCACATGTTTGAGGATACCTTGAAATTTAGGAATCATGACCATAATATTTATCTTACGACTGCCTTGTATGCGCGCCTTTAGCCTTAATCTGCTCTGCGTGATCACGGAGTCCCGACATCGCCACATCAATGTACAGACGGGCCCTTCAGTGTTGATGACGGGAATAAATGACCTAGCGATAAGTTTTGCTTCATTACAGTAAGGTGCCTGAACAATTTCACCAACTATATAAAAGAGATTAGTTATAGTATACGTTTTTCATTTCAGGTTCATATCTGAGTGAAAGTGGTTCAGGCGAAAGGGAGTGACTACCTTCTGTGTTCTACCTGTCTGTTGAATGAATAAAGACATTTGCAGCGTTTTCAGGGTGGAGCAACAGCACTCAAGGTTGTGATGAAGGGCTACTGGACTGGACTGTCATACATAGTTGAGGCTTTGCAATTAGTGGCACGCATGGGTACGGGTCTAGACGTCACTACGGGTAGCCAATGTAAGCGACAACGCATGAAGTTTTAATGATGAAGGGTGGTAGTTCACCACGTTTTCCGAAAATCGCATTGCGCCTTAGGAAGTAAACCGGTTAAGTTAGATTATACTTCCTGGAGAGAAAGATCTCCCACAGAAATAGTGGCAATTAACGTGCAGATCACCTGAAACGGCTTTATCATCTCGCGACCAGCCGTGAATGACGGAGAGGGGGTCATAAATAGGATGTATATTCACATCAGTTTTTCATCAGGTTATTTCCTATTATGATATTTCACGCAAGAAAAGTCTTAAAAACAATGCTGTACCAAGTTCCGTGAATGACTCATATGGGTTATCATGTCTGGCGGATTCAGACGCCATTGTAGTACCCACTGGCGCGGAACTCACATGAGAGGAATATGGTGAGCCTTTAAATAACGCCACGGGTTGATTTATCTCATAAACTGGTAATCACATGCATATCGGCAGTGGTCACTACCTAGGAAGTTTACTCAATAAACAAGAAACCACCGCGAAGCCGAAATAAATCAGCGCCCCGCAAAACGTTTTACTTCACAGCTCCGTAGTTTTGCGCAAAATTAATTTGCGTCTGCTTTCAGTGATCAACCCCAATAGTGAAGCTTTCGAGTTGGAGCAATTTGTCCCTTCAATGTAAGTTATCTGTTGTCGTTCAGCGACTGGTACGCTAAAGCGGAAGCATGCAGTACAGGAATACGTCTGTTAGCTACGCTGATTAGGGCCCACTAGCGAGCCAACACAATCAGGCGAATTTGACAAACCAGTGCAGGATCAGGAACGGGTCCACAAATTCGTTCGTGCGCTACTGAGAAAACGTGCAATTGCATTCCATCTACTCAGAAAACCAGAGTGACTTCTCCACACACATCTTGGGTGACGAGGTCTTAACGAAAGAAACAAAGTGAATCCATGATTTAAACAAACGCGGTGAGTCAGCTGGCGGCCATATCAGGTTGCAGGCTCAAGTTGCCCATAATAATCTCCCTGAGAATGGGCCTCCCTGGTAGCTTACTCAGCATGGTCTTATGCTACTACCCACCTTTTAGCTGGTTGACATATTTCAGCATGTTGGGGGGAATGTGACTGGCTGCAAACACCCTACGGCTGAGCTCAATTCGTGATAGCCCACATCAACTAGGCCAACGCCAATCCTCTTTGGTCGTTGCTACATAGGTTAAACCCCCATCATACCGAAAAAATACCGAAAAATATCCATTGCCTCGGTATTTCGCCTGCTGGTCGGTTGTTACTCTCTGATAAGAACACGAGGCACCCCTCACCACCAACGTTGATGATTGCGCTGTTTTTTAGCTACATCCACAACCAATAAACCGAAACACATTTGTGTTGGTTGGTTCTGTCTCTTGTAGCATAATGGCGCCATATCGAAAAGCATACCAAGACCCTGATTTCTTGGTTACCTATCTCGAATACACCCCTGCCCTGGCTCATTTAACCACCTACAACCACCCTAACTGTGATTCACTTTAAGTACTTTTTTATCAATTGTCGCCATGCTATCTGAGGCCTCCTCACAACGACCAGGATTTACTGGTCTCACCTTATTCCTTCCTCAGACTTTCATCTTCGGAAATAGCTGCATGGCCAGTATTCGCCCTGTCTGTCCCTCGCATTCCATTCACATGGACCCCCAAACAGAACGAAAATCAATTGTGCCTCCACATAGGCTTTGCTCTGCCAGCGTGGATCGAAGCTGCCTAAGGCATTGCATATCCCCGGTCTGATCACATAAATCATGGCTTTCGTTACGAGGCTGACCAAAAACTGATGTATTCCAGTGCATCGAAGGCATGGAGCTACCATAACGAGCCTGATGGCACAAACAAGACTATCTGCTTACGCGAGGGAGAAGATTTTTTGGCTGTTGCCCTTTTTGCGTTTAGGGCTCTGATAACAACAGCCGTTACCAGTTGGGCAAGATCAGAGTTGGTAGGCATAGTTTCCTTGTAAGAATGTACCCAAGTTCCAGGCCAAAATTCATAAGTAAGGGGTTCCAAAAAGTTAGTGGAGGACACGACACCACCATCCCGTTTGAAAAGCAGAGCAGATCACTCTAGGAATAGTGATATGTACAACAACCGTGGTTTGGAAACTCGAAGAAGACCATAGTCCCTCGGTATTTAAGTAAAAATTCACCCAAATAATAAACACCAGGCAGAGTTCCACTGGTAGCATATTTAATCTCAGAAATCGTACAAAATAGCTTACGAAAACGATATCCATAATCGTAAATCACCAAACTATTCGTGTGTTACTGAAGGAATACAACCAGAGCGGTTAGCTCAGAAGGGAGATTATGTTACTGGCCAACTGCCCCCAAGAGAGGGAAGTTAGGTTGAGGAGAAGGCCTGCTTGAAGACCCCGAGTTGTTGAGTAACTGGGATGTACAACTTAGCCTTGAGTGCTGCCCATTTGATTTCGAATCTAGAATGTCGTCAGCGGAAGAATATTCATTCATCTAAATAGGTTCTACGAAGCGGCGGCGAACTCCAACCAAGGCATAGCTTTCAAGGAATATAGAAGTTTTTCGAAGCACAGGGTATACGAAAGAAAAGAGGGGTTGATGCACAGCTTGCAGCAAGTTATAAGGTGACACCACCAGTCAATGATTGTCCGAATCCGCTTCAAGTTCAGTTGACATATCGACTTAGCTTTTCACATCGTACACTTGAGTGCCGACAAAAGCCAGTGTCACCCAGTGAGTAGGATTTATACTTTACAGCCAGTGGCGCCGGTAAGAAGCCAAGAGCTCCAACCAAAAGTCGGCTACCTGACAATGTATGCTAAGTTAATTGGGAGGAGCAGAAAAAAAACACATTCAGGCAAATTTGTGCTTCGTTTACGTGATTCGGAAAATTGCTTGCACACAAATGATTGGCGCATTGATTTTTCATTATGAAATTCGCATTCGAGAACGAAATGATAGCGTCTTTATAATAATAATGCTTATTCCCAACTGGTGGGTTGCATACAGTCATAATGCTACAATCAGAATAAAATCGTTACTAAGGGGGTCTGTA